TGCACCTATTGATCTTATTGATTCTTTCATCAATTTTTTCCTTTCCAATTTGATTCCTGCGCTCAAAAGGATTTTGATTATTGATCTTATTGATTATTGATTCTTTCATCAACTTTTTCCTTTCCCATTTGATTCCTGCGCTCAACAGCATTTTGGTGGAGAAGATCACGCCCCCTTCAAAACCTCAGCTAGGATCTTACTTCCTGAGAAAAGCGTCGAGGTACCATCTTTAAATTCCGTGCCTTTTGCCAAAGTTTGCCGTTTTCCATCAATTTTGTTACTGGGTCTTGCACCAAAATTGAAACTTTGACATGGGTGACTCTTCCTTTTTCCGTTAATTGGTTTTTTTCTACTTATGTGCTTATTTGCATTGTTTTTTAATCAAATGGTTGCTAATTTGGGAATTTTCATGTTTCTAGATGATTATGCATTTTTAATGTATATATTGTTGTATACATGATGCAAAACGAAATGCATTAGAAATTTATTTGTTAGAAGTATGAAACAAAATTATGCAACATTGTCAATTTATAGAAATGTATTGGGTCTACTATTGTTATGTTGGTTATAGATTTAAAAGAACACTTGACAAAGAAACCTTTCACATCTCGGAACAAGGACAACAAGCTAAGACAAGGTACTTGTGCAGGCTAAAGCGATCTTTTATTTGTGGTGTACTTGATATTTGGCAGTATCGTCTTGTATTCGTTTGATATATATGTAGCTTATTGTCCATTGATTGCGTTAATGAGTTATCGATGGAATGTAACATGGTACATTCTATTTCTAATGGAGACGAAGAAAATAAGGACTGAATGGAGTTTACCAGTTAAAAAACTCACAACTTGTAATCTCTTTTTGTTCTTTGATAGTCCACTATTGTGCTTTGACAAAACTTACGACTTCCTTTTCTTCAATATAATTTGTTTTCCTCACATTTGAGTCCAGTTTCCTATTGTTGATTGCAATCTACCTTCCTAGAACTTGTATTTAAGGCTCTACAGGATGTAAATATTGATCAAGTAAAAAGTAATCACTGATGCTTATGAATTTAAAATAGTTACCATTGATAAATCTAAGATGTGTAGAAGTTGCACGAGCAGTTAAAGTCCTCTTATATGCAAACAGTAACCACAACTTTGAATCTGGATTGGCATTAGAAATTACTGATGATTATGAATTTAAAAATAGTTACCATTGATAACTCTAAGATGTGTAGAAGTTGCACGAGCAGTTGAAATCCTCTTATATGCAAACAGTAACCACAACTTTGAATCTGGGATTTTATTGCATAAGCGCATGAGTGCCTGTCTAAACTTTATATAGATGGTAGAGTGAAGAAGTTGCATGCGCAAGGTGTATCTCAAAACGGTACCATGAAAAAAAACCTTATCAGGTATGTGCCACATTTATTGCTTAAAAATTCCTTCATCCGAGCTAATATAACTAATTTATCATGACAAGTCCTCTTGTCGAAATACATCAATAGAGACAAACTTCTCCAAAATGTTAGATTTGAAAGTAATAACATTAGCATTATCTTTCTTTGACATGTTGTTTCACTTATTTTAGCTGTCCTTATTTAGTCTACATGTAACATTAGCATTATCTTTCTTTGACATGTTGTTTCACTTATTTTAGCTGTCCTTATTTAGTCTACATGCTATAATTATTCGTGTATCCAACTTCTATTAGTGATTGGACTTGCTTTTTGGTGGTTCTATTACTTCTTATGTTTGATTAACTGTTAGTTTGAATCACTTTTCTTTTCTAGATATTTTTAATCTATTGAATGCAGGCATATTGCATATAATTGTATTTAAAACGGCACTGGAACTTGTTCGACCAAAAGATGTAGATTGTGAACTTTTTGAAATTACTTATGTGAGTAATTCTCCACCTTCAATGTACATAATATATAGGTCCTTCTGTTGCTCATTCCAATGAAATGAATCTTGTGAACTTGTAGAAGAAAACTGGACAAACCAACGTCTAAACATATTTTGGTCTGCTGACAGAGTTAACTGAGTTACATGAACCCATGCTTGCAAGGAATCCCAAAAACAAAGAGAGGTAACTTTTACTTTAAATGAAATATTCCATGTTTTGCGACAATCTGAGAATTCTCTTCTGCAGCCTCAACTGACGCAAGCCTAGCACGAAGAGAAATTTGTCGATGTTATGATTCACCCGATCACCTCTAAAGCAGGCAACCATTTGCGGTCCAAAGGGTTTGACGTTATCACCTGTAAGCTAGAGGAGATTGTTGCAAGTGTTATAAAGCCCATTTTGTGATGATCTTTTTCAAGAAGTTTGAAATAAAAAATGCATTTATAAAATCTTTTTCATAGACTTTCAGAAGGATCAAGATGGATATCCTTTTGGACCAACTGCCAGAACACCTTCCTACAGGACTCTCTTATAGATCCTTAAGCACAGATAAATCTACAAAACCTATCAAAGAACAAGAACAATGTATCTGAAGAAAACCCTTGTCCTTTTAATTTCCCAATATGCTTCTTCCACATTCTCCCTGCAATGTGAAATGCTAAGTGATTATTATCATTTAGTTCATGACTAAATGACATTGTTAAATTTTAATATCAATTTATTTTAATATCAATTTATTTTTGTTGTAAGTGCTTCTGAAGAAACTATAAGAGACCATCTCAAAGAGGCATACAGAACTGCTCCATCAATCACATTCATTGATGACATAGATGCAATTGCTTCCAAGCGAGAAAATCTGCAATGGGAGATGGAACGGCGGATAGTAACACAGCTTATGACTTGCATGGATGAATCACATCACACTCATTCACCTGATCATTACTAGACAGAAACATCTGAGAAGAAGACTAATTATGTTATTGCAAGCGGATCAACAAACAGAACATATGCACTTCAACAAGCTTTGAGGAGACCTGAACGGTTTGATTGTGAGATTTCTTTGGGTGCATTTGATGAAAATGCACGGCTAGAGATCCTGTTAATTCTTACTCGAAAATGCAAATGTGTGTTTTGGGGAGAGTAGAGTCAATGAGATATAGTTTTACCTAATAATTAAGGTCGATTGAACTTTTAAGTGTTTGATAAAGTTTCAAATTGAGTATTGCATGATTGCAAGGTTAGGTGATCCATGGGTTTCCATCGTTCAATTGCATTGCAAATGAGCATGGTTTTGGCTGGGGTGTTCACAAGATTTGGGAAGATAAAAAACTAAAAATGTGCTGCCTGTGAAACTTTGTTTTGGATGAATCCTCAGGTACAAGTTTAGCTTAAAATAAAGTAAGCCGTATGACGTTTTTTGGAATATGATATGGTATCTGTGTTAGAATTTGTTTTTTATCAAAAAAGAGTATTACCTTATGTAGAGTATACAATTAATTAATTAACTATGATTTAAAATTTTCTACAGGGAAGTTTATGTTGTTATTAGTCAATTTCCAAGGGCTAACTTCATGACCGCTATAGTTCCTCAATCTAAAGGGATTAGCCACTTATTGCTCCTAAAATTTTTGGACGGTACTTTGAATTTTTGATGCTAAAGGAGTTTGATCTCCAAAGTGTTGTCTGACATTTCATTGCATTGAAGTTATCCTATTCTCTTATTCAAATGGTTGTAACATACATCCAAATGATGGAGAGGTTATTCCATCTAGGATTATGTCGTTTATATGCCAATAGAACAATATAGAGACGATAAGTGGCTATCACTACACATTAAGAAAAAGAATCTGTGATTAACCATAAAATTTGAGTGCTTGATTTTCATCTTGCTTACAGTCACGAGTTTTTCGCTATATGCACATGAAAATGATGATCCGATGAGATATTAGGCGACATAACAAGTCGGCATAGCTTGAATCATGAAGCAAGCCAGTCAACTAACTCTTTATTGAGCTCGCGTTTTGGGTATGAACAAATTTTCAACATAACAATTTTCAAACATATTAACATTACTATACATACATTCTGATGCTGAAGATGTGGGTTATTTATTTGCCTAAGCCTCATCACACCATCTGTTACTTGCTCAACATGCATCCATCCAGAAAAAGATATAGGGTTCACGTAGCCTTGTATTTGGGAAATGATTGCTGCTTGTTCATTACGTTTATCGACCGGGTCATCGACAAAATTATGCCATCTCATTCCAATGAGATATCAGTCGTCTCTAATGGAGTTGTGGAGATTAGTGAACCAAACACAGAACCATTGGCAAAGAAGATCACCACGCTGAAGAGAAGGCAACCGAGCCAAGCAAACTGATAGATCGCATAGTTAATGATCAATGGATAGCCAAGCAAAGGAAAAGACCTCTGGAAATTACATATGAAACACAAAGTGTAGTCAGAAGCTTCAAGATGGAAGGAAAATCGAGGAATTTGGAAAAAAAATAGTGCAATGACATAGAAAGCCTATAACGTCATAAGCTTGGATTTACATCCACATCATCAAACATTACTTTTACGTATATTCTGGTTATATTATTTGATTGATCAATCACCTTGTAGATACAACCACTCTACTATCGCATAATTGATCTCTAAATATAAATTTATTGTTCAAACAGTTTGAATTTTTAGCTTCAGTTCATATACTGGCAATATTGTGTACATTCAATATGTTTTTCCGGCATTTATACACTCTAAAATTTTTAAAACTTGCACTTAGTACTCTAAAGTTTTTAACATTTGCACTTAGATATCCTCAGTTATGCTAACACGACATCATTTAAGTGCAACTTTTTGAAATTTTTAGTGTGTATAAGTGTAAGTTTTGAAATCTATAGAGTATATAAGTGTTCTAAAAAACAAGTGAGAGTATGTAAGTGCAAAATAGTCAAGCTATAGGGTACTTAAGTGCAATTAAGCTAATTTGAGAATTTGCTCTAAACTACAATTAATAGCATCTACGATGTGAATGTCATCGATACGTATTTAAAAATCAAATATTTCATATTAAAAATTAATTTCATACACGTACGGATGCAGTGCACGTACTGACATCTATTCCTTTATACAAATAGGAGGATCAAAGAACAACTGTTCATGCTATAGTAAATTGAACAGTAAATTAATTGTTGTAGCAGGAGCATGAAATACTATTGAAGATCAAAGAATAATGCTACATTAATCCCGCCACAGTAATCCTCTATGCTTGAATGCTTTAATAGATCTCAAAATTACCCCCTCTCCACAAATTCCCTTCAAATTTCAAAACTCCCCCTTCTCTCACAATCCCCCACCTCACTCTCAAAGTTTCCTTTTTGTTTGGATTTGTAGGGGGTGAAGGGAAGTTAAGGGAAACTGAGTGAAGGGAAGGAAAGGGAAGGGAAGGGAATTCCCTTCCCCTTGGTTACACTAGGGTGAACCAAAGGGAACTAGGGTGAATTAACTTCACCTCCTAAATGTTCCCAAACAAAGTGAATAGAGATGAATGGTTCCCCTAACTTCCCTTCACCCTCGTTCCCCTCAATCCAAACAAGCCCTTTATCTCCACTTTCTCTCAGAAACCGTCCTTCAAAATTGCCCCCTTCTCTCAGAATCCCCCACCTCTCACTCAGAAGGCCACGATCGCGACCCGCTGCCGCCTCGAAAGCCGACAGCAGCCACCCAACTCTGCCCACCCACCGCTCGAATCCATCCCATCCCCGCCACCGCTGGCCACCATCACTGATCCTCCCTCGATTCAAAAGGTAATTTCTCGCAGGATCTAGGAAGCAAATTTCGGCCCGTTCGAAGCCGTCGACAGCCACCCACCCGCCGTTCGAATCCACCCCATCCCCGCCGCCACCGTCACTGATCCTCCCTCTAATCGAAAGGTGATTTCTCGCAGAATTTAGGTTTCTTCAAACAATCTTTGTAAAAATCGCTTCTTTTTCTTCGAATCGCTTTCTTCACCCACCTCTGCTGCAGTTAAAAAAAGGTGATATTTTTGGAATTCGAGTAGGACGGAGAAGAGAATGTCAGAATTAGGGTTAGCGTTTGAAGAAGAGAGGATGAAGAAGAAGCAGCAACAACATCAATAGTACAAGCTCCATTCTACAACTACGGTGAATTTTCATCTCTTTTTGTGAATTTAACTACTAATTAGCCTAAATTTAAATAAAAAATAATGTGAATATCCATTTAATAACTGCTTTTAAGGTACAAAGTAGAAAATTTACTTATTCATCCCTTTTTATGTGACGTTGTGTGCTCTTATTATTGTTGCCAGTTGTCATTTTACTTACTCACAAAATTTACTTCTCATGTTTTTTTTTTATTATAAATGAGTTGTGTACTTCCAGTAGAGGAGTTTTGGCGGTTTATCTTAGAAATAGCTATAATTAAGCATTGTAATTTCATTGCTATTTGTGCATTTCCATTAAATATATATTACATATTACATGCTTACATCGATCAGTTATTTGTTCATTCTTTGGGTTGCAATAATATTGCAATATATGATTAGGAAAGAGTAACTAAACTTCAAATCAGTTCAGAGAAATATTATTACTTCCAGAAAAATTACTTTATTTACCAGTCTATTTGATTTTTGGGTTTTTTTATTTTAACGTATTTATTTTATTTCCAATTGAACTGTTAAAAAAATAAAATCTGATGGAACATTAAATTATTACTCCAAACTAAATAATGAGTTTTTTAATTTTTAATTTATTAGTTATTAGTTATACCCTCTCTCATTTTTATTTAAAATTTGATGGGTTTATTTATTAGTTATTAGTTATACCCTCTCTCATTTTTATTTAAAATTTGATGGGTTTAGAACATGTTAGAGGAAATATATTGAAGAATTAATTAATATCTCATTTTTATTTAAAATTTGATGGGTTTAGAACATGTTAGAGGAAATATATTGAAGAATTAATTAATATCAGCTACTTATTTTCATTGTAACTGCTGAAAATAACCATCTTTCTAAATATGATACGGCACAAGGCATTAATTATATCACTCCTATATCATTCATAGACCCAACAATCTATTTATATATTTAGGTATCTCTATGATGTAATGAATTCTAATTGTATCTACTTTTAAAGATTTCAATTTGTTGATTAGTATCATTTGTTTATTATGTAAATGATTAGAGTCATTTATTTTCTTAGTATTAGAGATGATCACTATCATTTTTTAGTAGATCACGCATCGTTTTTTATTAAATATGAGGAGTTTCATAGGCTAACTATTTAATTATTTGGTGAAAGTTGAGGAGTGACATGAGCTTATGTTGAATTGATAGGCAATGGTTTGCATGAGGAGGAAGTGTTATTACTCTATGATTCCCTTTTTCGAGGTTTGCTTGATTTATGTTTTAATACAAGTTACTTCGTATAACTTAAATTCCAAGTTAATACAAAGGTCTGATCTTGATCCGAGATCTTCATTATTTTACTTTTGATTTGATATGCTAACTATGAATTACGTTATGTTAAAACTGTGCAAATATATGAAAGTGTGTGTGTATGCGAACTATTTATTTTAATTTACTTTACACATTTTTCGTATCACATAGAACTTTATTAGTTTACATGCTTTGTTGGAGAGTTAGATATGATAATCAACAAATGTCCATAGTGGTCTTTGGTATAGTGCGGGATCATGACAGCATGTATTTCCAATAATTGTGCAATTTTTTTAAAGCTTGAAACATTGAATCATAGCTCTAAAGTTGTATGCTACACCAAGGAATGTTAAAGAATTCATCTGCTAGCAACTTCTGATGTGTTTGTTACACTGTGATAGATAGATGAAAATAAACTTTTTAGTTATCACAACAATACATGTTAAGGACTCTTAAAAGTGCCAGCTTCCTGCAGGAACCATATGGGAACATACCCAGGGACACTATCATGGAGGCTCTGAGAGTCTTGCTAGATACATAATCAAGCAAATTTTATCTAACTGAACAAATGAAGCAAGTTAGAAATAGCTATATTGGTGTTGATCTGTCAATGATCTTACCAAAGGTGACTTGATCCGGTCCCTGATTATCACACTCAACTATGTTTTTAGTGTTTATCATGTATTATGCAAATTCTTCTTTTGAAAATGGAGTTAATATAGCAATTATTCTATGATAATTTTGTGTGTCCTCCATATATTCAATTGAGAAATTACACATTTGATTTTGTGAGATTTTGATGGTTATTATAATAAGCTATGCATTTTGTTTGTTCTTTTTACATATTTATAGAGATGCAAGAGCTGATTTTGATGATTAATAAAATCTTTGGTAACTAAAATGTTGGTAGGTAACAAAAGTAAAATCTGATTTTGGAAAATTTGTGAACTTGATTCATTTTTAATCTATTTGATTTTAGATCTTAATTTTTCTAGAATGATAATACATCTTATATATCTGTGCTATACTGAAAAGCAATCATATTTGATATTTTTTCTTTCTTTTTATTGTCAGTAGTGTGCCTATGCCTTCTCAGTAAACAATATGAATATATCTCATTTGTTTTGCCTCCAATGTTGGTTGCTTTGCTTCTACTTTTTCTTTTCTGGTGAGTAAGAGTAGAGAAATGTCCTAACAAGTAATATAAATCTCTTATGAATTTATAGCATGCAGTGTTAAGTCTTCCTTAAATTAGATCATATCAAACTATGCTTGAAACTTATTGAATAGATAAATATCATAATTGATATGTAGCTATATTTTAATGAAAGGTGATGTACTTGAATGTGATTGCAGGTTGTACAACTAGGTGGGAAAGATATGCTTGCAATGCTTCATATTGGCTTGCAGAAGTGCAGGAAAATTGAATGATTTTGTAAGTCAACTATTTATTTTACCTCCTTAATGAACATGAGATTTAATGCACAAGCTTCTCCCTTTTCTTTTATTGTAAATACCATGTACAAATTTGTCAAATCTAATAAAATCCCAGTTATAATTAAGGCATGAGTATCAATATTAGTTTAAGCATCATATACATGGCCTTAATCTACTACTTATAAACTAAAGGAGAACAACAAAAAAGTTATGATGAACAGTAAACTTTTTCATTATCCACGTATTTTGGATTTGGATATTTTCCGTAACCCAAACTCACGTCCACTTCTCTTCTAACCGCATCCCCAACAATCGTACCCACTACCCAAAGAAAACCACCCACTCCCTCCCTCTTCTCCCTTAACGTTAATCTCATCTTCCTCTTCTATTTACCCACAGGCCTCCTCTTCAATCGGTAACATTCTCTTTCTCTCCCCTTCTAAAAATTTCTCGCCCTAAAAATGTTCCGATTTTGTTCCTCTTCTAAATCTAGGGTTTCCTTCATCGAAACAAGGGGAGGTTTGGGGCTCCGGCGAATGATCTCTTCGATTCCCGGTTTCACTCCGCCGCCTACGGCGACTCCTAAGCCTCCGGCTGAGCCCTCGACCAACCTCTTCGTCTCATGTTCAATTCTCTTTCGTTCCACAAAAAAGTTACCTTTTTAATGTCTTTTTGTTGATTTAGTTGTTTTTTTGATAAATTAATATAAACGTTTTGGAAAGGTTGAATCTTTGAGCAGTTGCGTGTGGACCTACGGTTCGTGGTGAAAATCAAAATTTGACATTGATTTGACCTGGGTTAAGTTAAATTTAGATTTTTTTTTTTTTGTGAATTGGAGTTGTTTTGGTATTCATTTAAGGAAATGACATGAAATTGAGCGCTAATTTATCAAGGATATAATTTTTATTGCCATTCAAGATACTGTAGAGACTCCGATGATACTTGCTGAAGATGAGGAGTGTCAAAATTTTGAACGAAAAGCATAAATTAAACTTATTATGCTAATGGTTGTTTATTAATGTTGATAGTTCATATATTATGCACACATGAACAACATGGTCAGGTTCTTGTGTAAAATTTTTGCCTGGCTCTTGTGATGATTCTTTGTAGTTGTATATGTTATTGAATGATTTGGTCACCTGATTTGTTATAGAATTGTTGTTTTTAAACTGTAAAAAAGATTTTGATCTTATTTTGTTTATCGATATGATAGCGAAAAAGAAGGAAGTGAAGAAGGAGACATGACTTGGCTTGACTTTCGAAAAGGATGAGAACTTTGATTTCTGTTGTTGTTTTAGGTGGTTGTTAATGGGGACATGATTGAATACTATGACGTCTCTGGATGCTATATTCTACGGCCTTGGACAATGGCTATTTAGGAGACCATGCAAGTTAGTTGTTAAGTGTGGAGTTTGTTTTTTATTTTATTTTAACAACGATCATGTTTACTATGATTCTGGTCACCTTCTCTGCTTTGCTAATGCAATAGGTTATTGACAAACATTTATTATAAAGTGTCCGACATTATAAGTAATAGTAAATGCGGTCAATTCTAATGATACAATGCAAAAAGAAGGCATAATAGCTCGAGAGAGAAACAGTAATTTTTTTTTGAATTAGTCCCTTATATTGTTAAAACTGCTATTAGGTTCCCTAATTATTAAAATTAAACCTTCACATTATTAAAATCGTTATTAGGCCATCAATTTTCATAAGGTGCTTTAAATAACCCCTCGAAATGCTACTTCTGCTCTTAATTAGAGTGATTGATTTGAAACAACTACTGAGAAATTTGGAAACTATTATCAATTTCAATAAAACAAGGGGCTAATTTCGATATTATTTAGGAATAACAACACTTAATAGCAATTTCACTGATTTTAGAAACCAGATTCAAAATATTAAATATTTAAGGGACTAATATTAAACTTGATATTATTTCTTGCTCATCTTTTTTTTTTAATTCTAATTAGTATTTTACAGATGAATGAATTCTAATTATTCGGTTCACTTCCACCACTATACTTCATATCTAAAGCAGAATACTTTATTTTCGTAACATGTTCAATATTTACAGAAGATCTTTTAGAAACCGTGCTTTGCACGGGTCTAAATACTAGTATATTTCAATGCACAAGAGATCAGGATGTTTGGTATCCCTCCTTGGAAATAAAACATCATAAAATTGTAAATTAAGCTAGAGAATTTAAGACGATGATCATAGATTATGATCTTTATCAGTTTCATTCAAGCGTGATATTTGTTAATTGTTTTCTTAATATGGTTCATGTTTATCCTTTTTAGAGTCAAGAAATGAGATATTCACAAAAATAACACTCAAAAGGAAAAAGAAATAATTCAACATTTACAAATGTTGTTGAAGCCCAATGCTCGCGATGATATGGAATCATACGTTATTTTTGTGAATTTTGGAATAACATGAGGCTGCTTAATCTGAGATGTGGTAGTCGATATTATTTGTTATCATAGTTGTTTGTAATATCCTTATAGCGAGTAATTTGTGAGTCTTTAGAATCTATGTAATTATGACTCTGAACGCTATGATGGATTTACCATTATGTATACAAATAAATGCAGTTGAGTCATATGATGTTGGAGGATTGTTAAGTATGTTTTTCTAGAATTGGAAATTAGATTGTGCAACTAAGCTAGCTTTTGAATAAGTTATTACTGTAGCATTATCACTGTAGCAAATACATAATATTGTGGCATTTTAAAAAAATTACTGTGTTATTTACAAAAAATACCGTGTCATTTAAAAAAATAATTTTTTATAGCGGAAACAAAAAAAGGTGGGTCGTGCTTTGCACGGGGTGCACACTAGTGAACTATTTATTAGGGGAAAACTTTTCTAACCATATCGATGAGTTGTAAATCACGTGTCAAGGAGCGAAAGTTAATCAGTTTTATGAAATCCCGAAGCCGCGATTTCGACGCAGATATTGCATGGTTAAATCACAAACTAATTATTCCGGATTTTATTTCTAAGTAATATTCAATTAAAATTTTAAAATTTAAATTTTAACTGCATCATCAACCATTATAATAGGTGTGGTGATAGGGACACACCTCAAACCACACCACTAACCACACTCTACTCTCTCATTTGCTACACCACTAACCACACTCTACTCTCTCATTTGCTACAGTTAGGGGTGCTAAACCGTATCCGTATCCGATGAAATATCTGTAACCATATCCGTTAGGATACGAATATGGTTACTCAAATCTATAACCGATAGGATATGGTTATGGATATGGTTTTGTAGTGAAATATCCGTATCCGTATCTGAAATATCCGAATACATATTAGTCATACTCTTACGATAGTTTCGATTCTTAGATTATGGATTTGTGGTTAATTTTGATAATCAAGATGACTAATCTTAACTATTTAGTTATAATGGATATATTAACGAACTTTTTTGTATCACATGAACTATGTTTTTCTCAATACTATCTAGTTTTCTCATATCTGTTTTGTATCCGCATGCATATCCGCTTATATATCCGCATGTATATCCGTAACCGTATCCGATTTTAGCGGATATGGTTATAAGTTTTTCTTACCGAGGTATATCCGTATCCGTATCCGTATCCGAGATGGGTAAGCGGATATGGATATGGTAAGCATTATATCCGAGCCGTATCAGGACCGAATGCACCCCTAGCTACAGTACACGGGGCTCCATATGGGATTTTAAAAATTTAAAATCCCATGTGGGGTTCCGTGTACTGTAGCAAATAAGAGAGGAGAGTGTGGATGGTGGTGTGGTTTGGGGTGTGCCCCTAGCATTTCTTTTATAATAGACTCCACTATTCAAATACAGCTAGCCCACATTGATCTCTAAATTTTACATTCTTCCTACCGAAAGGGTGCACAATGAAAGCGTCATCATCAATCATTATCAGCAGGGGATTTACCCAAGCTCCATTCAGTCGGGTTGATTTGCAATTTTATTTTTGTGAAGAGCGTTTTACGTAAACCGCGCTTAACTCATGCAGCCACGCGCCGAGTAAGTCTAAATTAAAGTCTAGAAACTTGCCACGTTGCGATGGCAGTTATAAACTGCTTGTGGACCCCACCGTTTGTCATCTTAACGAACTGCCCCCCTCCCCCCCAAATTAAAATTTAGCGTTCCATTAGAGCTCGAAGATGGGCAGAGGCGGTGTTTTTTTAGAAAAGGGAAAAAAAATCTTCCCTCCGCTGCGACATTGTAAATTTCACTATTTTTGATTCGATTATTGGTGTGTTTGTATCGTAACTGATGAATCTGGATCCAAAATAACGGCTTTGCTTGAGATTTTGTGTTGACTAGGATGCGGTCTTGATTTGATTATTGGCGTGTTTGATGCTTTCCTTTATGTGAAATGGGTGTTTTCGGTATTAACTTCAGATCTCAAATGGTTACGGTTGGCATATTATAGGAGTATGATTTGGATTTGGTTAATGGGTCCGAGCTCGGTTTTGGGTGTCTTTGCGTGACATGAATACTAGTTAATTTTCATCTATGCAAACTAGTGCCTGCATTTTCTTTCGATCATAATGGTGGCAGTCTCTTTTTTGGGGTGGGGGGGGTGTATTTGCTTATTGCATTAATAGCAAAAATATAAAAACATTAAGAAGGTAGCAATACTCAATGCGAGAGTCATAGCAGTAATGGAGAATCAAACTAGATAAAAACATCGCTTTACAGGTAGCAAATGAACGATTTATACCAACGTAAGGAGCCAAATTCTGCGAGAACTTAATACAAATAAGAATGTGATATGATTAAATTGAATATCTAATGTAGGTTCGAGATGTAAGACCAGATTATAGTCTTTGCTCCTAAAGGAGAAGAAAAATGCATGATTATACATATGCATCATATGTATTGCACCAGGAAGCATCGAAAATCATATGTAGAAGATGGCAACATGATGTGCTGTGCTTTTAGTCATTAGACAAGCATTTGGTTTTGTCTAATAGAAAAGAAAATATGAACCACCACTTATACTGATCCTACGCTTCTCATAGGATGAAATACGTATAAAAGATGCAACAAGAGATCATTATCATCCAAACAAATACATCCAACATTAGAGATTTAAGTATAAGCTCAAATGGACACAATACACTTTGTTAACTCTCCTCTGGAGAATGCATCCAGCAACATGGAAGGTAAAACATGAGATGCTAAAAACTAAATTGCCCTAATTGAAGTACCTCTCTATTTCCTTGATGAAACATGAGGTGCTAAAAATGGTATCATGACGCTCTGAAAATTTATATCTAGCAATCAATATAAGTCATCAAGTAAGAAACCACTCAGTCTATACACTATTGATTAGAAAAAAACAGTATTCAATGAATGAATGGAGTCCTGTTCAAATTCAGAGAGGAAAGGAGTGGAGGGTGTATGAGGGTGAGGTGGTTGAGAGGAATGATTAGGTGGTGCAGAGCATCAGACTGGAACGATCTGAATCATCCCGTTTTGCAAGCAACACGAGTTACCACTAGACAATGGAGCCATACGAGACTACTGCCCAAGGCCACCTGGTTGTCACCAGAACATTGCGGAGGTATAACCAGAACGCGTGCACGTAGTCTGGTCCAGGTTTCGAGAACGCCCAGATTAACTCGTGTTGCTTGCAGCACGAGATGATTCAGATCGTTCCAGTTTGATGCTCTGCACCACCTAATCATTCCTCTCAACCACCTCACCTTCGTACACCCTCCACTCCTTTCCTTAGCACCTCATGTTTCATCAAGGAAATAGAGAGGTACTTCAATTAGGGCAATTTAGTTTTTAGCATCTCATGTTTTACCTTCCATGTTGCTGGATGCATTCTCCAGAGGAGAGTTAACAAAGTGTATTGTGTCCATTTGAGCTTATACTTAAATCTCTAATGTTGGATGTATTTGTTTGGATGATGATGATCTCTTGTTGCATCTTTTATACCTATTTCATCCTATGAGAAGCGTAGGATCAGTATAAGTGGTGGTTCATATTTTCTTTTCTATTAGACAAAACCAAATGCTTGTCTAATGACTAAAAGCACAGCACATCAGGTTGTCATCTTCTACATATGATTTTCGAGGCTTCCTGGTGCAATACATATGATGCATATGTTTAATCATGCAATTTTCTTCTCCTTTAGGAGCAAAGACTATAATCTGGTCTTACATCTCGAACCTACATTAGGTATTTAATTTAATCATATCACATTCTTATTTGTATTAAGTTCTCGCAGAATTTGGCTCCTTATGTTGGTATAAACCGTTCATTTAAGGCTACCTATAAAGCGACGTTTTTATCTAGTTTGATTCTCCATTACTGCTATGACTCTCTCATTGAGTGTTACTATCTTCTGAATGTTTTTACATTTTGCCATCTTCCGTAGTATCAGGATCAAATTCAAGGTGTGATCCAACAACTTATATGCAGGCTATTTTATGAAAATTTTAAATGTATTAATGCAATAAGCAAATACACCCCCCCCACCCCAAAAAAGAGACTGCCACCATTATGATCGAAAGAAAATGCAGGCACTAGCTTGCATAGATGAAAATTAACTAGTATTCATGTCACGCAAAGACACCCAAAAACGAGCTCGGACCCATTAACCAAATCCAAATCATACTCCTATAATATGCCAACCGTAACCGTTTGAGATCTGAAGTTAATACCGAAAACACCCATTTCACATAAAGGAAAGCATCAAACACGCCAATAATCAAATCAAGTCTGCATCATAGTCAACACAAAATCTCAAGCAAAACCGTTATTTTGGATCCAGATTCATCAGTTACGATACAAACACACCAATAATCGAATAAAAAATAGTGAAATTTACCATGTCGCAGCGGAGGGAAGATTTTTCCCTTTTCTTAAAAAAACAAGTGATAAACAACCCAAAAAAAGAAAAAAATATAAATAACCACTAAAAATTCTAAAATTACAAAAAATACTTAGAAATTTTTGAAAGCTAAAAAAAACATATAGGCCCCTAAAAAATTAAAATTGTAAAAAACCTTAAAAATCTTAAAATTGAAAAAATAAACTCTTAAAGCTCTAAAATCATGAATGAAACATAAACTATTTCATAAATTACACAAAACTTCTTAAAAATCCAAAAAATGCAAACCAACCCCTTTAAAAATTAAAAACTATAAACAACCCTAAAAAATCTAAAAATTCAAAAAAACATACAAAAAAAAAATGAAAACTATAAAAAAAGCTCATAAAAAGTAAAATATTACAAATGACATCCTAAAAATTTTAAATTTCAAATAGCCCCTTAAACATCTTTAAAAAAATTGATCCTTTAAGTTAGAAAACTACAAAGAAACCCTGAAAAGATTACGAAAACCTAAAAAAATTATAAAAAGTATAAAAAACCCTCCGAAAAATCATACATCAAACACAAACCTGACACACACAAACCAATAAAAATACTAACAATTATGTGGAAATTAGTGATGAAAATTATAAAGGGTATAAAATACTGTGAATTCATGCAAATTATAAGATGAAAACATAGCATTTCAATGAGAAAGAAATTATTTGCATACAAATTATTTTTTTCCATAAAAGGATCTTGACATTCATGTACTATTTATTGTAAATTGCCCTTAATGTGAATTGTCCGTAATTTTGACTTTGGTTATGGTAATTTTAATACTTTTGATTAACTATATAATATATTGACAATAAATTATTTTACTCTTTCATGTGAAATTAAAAGAAATATTTCACAACCGAGTTAAGTACGTAAGGAAATAAAAAAATAAAAAAAAGATAATGATATTTAACCGCGTGTAATGCACGTGCATCCAGTCTAGTTGTATTAAGTATATATACAACAACTAGTTAATTTATCGCTGGAAAATTAAATTAGAAAAAAAAATATATAATTTTACCATTTCATATAATTGGTTGCCTCCAGTATCCCACCACGTACGTGAAGTGTGGGATGCTTGGACCGAACGAAGGCTTTTAAGTTCGCAGCTTATATCAATGGCCGAATTGTACGGCCAAGCATCAGACATGCATGACTCAGAAACGCGACTTTGAGCAAGTCTAAATTCACGAGAGTTTGGTGAAACTCTTTTCATTGTTAACTCGCGCATCAGGCGTGCATGACTCAGAAACGCAATTTTGACATGCAACACAAAGCAAGTGTACTCAAAAACTAACCACATTGATGAAGATCGTGGCTTAAGGAGCCAGGTGTTTGGTTCAATTTCTAGAAATTACAGGAAATGTTTTCCATCTAAAATATGATTTCCTTGTATTTCTTTAAAAAGTTATAGGAAAAGTTTTGAGAAATCAAAAAGTACCAATTTTTTTGTTTTTTGTACTTTGCTTGTTTGGTTCAAAACAAGAAAACAGCTCACAAGTTTATAGAAAATAACAAGATTTGGTAGGTTTTTAATTAAATATGATATGTGTCAGATTTCTGGTGATTTCCTCTCATTTTGAGAGGAAATTGCTTTTTTGTAAAATTTGGTAGGTTTTGATATTTTATAGAAAATATTTCTGTAAATTTTTTGTTGAACCAAACACAATTTACAGAAAACTTTAGAAAATTTTTAATTACAAATTTACCATTGTCAGATGGTTTAAGAAAAGTTTTTTCAAAAAGTATGCAACCAAACCAAACGGCCCTGAAACGTCCTCTCAAAAAGTGTGGAACTCATCCATGTAAGTATCTTTCTCACATCAGCCAGAAGCAGTTCCTTGTGATATATATGCAGCCTCCGTAGCCCTCAACTTCTTCATAAGATCAAAAAGCCGCTTGTGATATGTAAGTATCTCAAATTAGTCCCTGAAACGTCCTCTGATTTTATTAGAATTCGAATTGGCCCCTCCCCAACGGCAATGGTAACAGGGCACGGGTTAGAGGACACCGTAGCAATTAAAAAGATCTTAGGGACTAGCTATAAACATTAAGATTGGACAAATTTTCAAAACCGACCCATTTGGGTTTTTTATTGCAAAAAACGACCCATTTTAATTTTAATTATAAAAACCGACCCAGTTGGTTGAAACTGAGTCGGTTTTTGAATTTTTTTTCACAAACTTCACGGGAGTTCAACTCCCGTGAAGTTTTGTTATGAGAAAAAACTTCACGGGAGTTCAACTCCCGTGAAGTTTCCCGAAAAAATTTAAAAAAACCAACCTATTTTTAGCCCCTGGCTAAAAACAGGTCGGTTTTTGTAAATATTTTTAAAACCAGTCGTTGTTTGCAATTAAAAACCCAAATGGTCGGTTTTGAAAATTTGTCCCATTAAGATTAAGAGGGACAAATGTTACGGAAAAAACCCTTCCCCCTGCTATCCGCGGTCGGCGTTGGAGGTGTAGCCGTGCGCCTCGCCCAAGGGTTTTCCAATTTTCTTATCGATATCCTTCCTTCCCACCTCCCTCACCGGTAAAGATTCAATATTTCTTGATAAAATTCCGCTTTTTTTTCGTTTAATTTTAGTACCAGGGACCAAAAGCATATCAGAATCGCATCCGTATTTATTCGAGTAAGGTTACAATTAGATTATTGATAAAATTCATCTTTTTGTTTTTTTTTTAATTATGTTTTGAGAGCCGTGCAGGCATAAGGAATCAAAAGCGTACTAGACCGGCATCCAAATCTGGGCAGGAGTAGAATTAGATTGGTCATATGAGTTTTTTCTTTTTTCTTTTTTAATACAGGGCTCAAATTTTTTGTCGCAATATGTTTGATTTTTTCTTTTTTTTTATAATTTCAGAAATCTAATAGGTTACTACTCGAACTAGGAAGGTCTGGGCCCAGCTGTCTATATATTGATGTCCTGCATCATCAAACTACTTCTCATAGTTCTTCAACTCTGCCATTGATTAAGGGGGGAAAAGATAGCATCATGGGTATTGAGCTAAAACCTCAGATCAAAAGAAGGAAGACGCGCGAAGAAGATGAGCAATATGATGGTACGACCGAATTCATCGCCTTTGAGATACTCACCAGACTCCCCGTGAAGAGCCTGGTGAAGTGTAAATCCGTGTGCAGATCATGGCGCTCTCTGATCTCTGATCCCGTCTTCATCGCGGCGCACCTGAAGCGCTCGGGGGAAAATCCCCAGCTCATAATCGCAGCTTTCTTTTCTAAACTCCCACGTCGAGGAATCGACATGTATACTTACGAGGAGCGCAAGAAGAGAGCCAGGTTCTTGTTCGGGGAAGAATTTGTTTCATTCCAGGAGCATATGTTTCTTCCTCAGCACTGCAACGGTCTGGTGCTGCTCAACACCACGAGGCGGCTGGTTGTGTGCAACCCCAGTACTAAAGAGTTGGTAGCCTTACCTTCAGACAACCGTGGTGATGTTGCTCGGATGAGGGGATTTAAATATACAACTTCTTTAGGCTACGTTGAAGGTATAAACCTTTACAAGGTAGCCCGGTATTTTTTCAGGGATCGCAATTATCACTTAAATACCTTGGACCTTGGCTTTGAAGTCCTTACTCTAGGATTCGATACTTCGTGGAGAATCATCGAGGACCCGCCCTATCCGACTGGAAGCCGTGTTTGTCCCCGGTCTGTGGGCGAAGTTATCTATTTCATCATCGATAACAGCCTCCATCATGGCCCTCCAAAAGCCTTCCTTTGCTTCAATCTCAGAGTCGAAAAGTTTAGAGTGGTCGACCCCCCTTACCAGTGTCCCATTGACTATAACAATATGAGCATCGTGAATCTTGAAGGCAATCCGTGCTTCGTTCATCAGTCACAGGATAGGAGGAAATGTAAAATGTGGATTTCCAGGGACTTTATCGAGCACGTGTGGATTCCTACCTTTAGTTTCGATCTGATGCAGCCCCCGAGACTTCTGGTGCCTCTCGCGTTTCGTCATGGAAAGCTTCTGCTCGAGATCGAGACCCCCGATGAAGTTCATAGGTTGGAGTATTATGATCCTCAGAGTGAAGTGTTTGATCCTGTCGTTTGCATAGCGGAGGATTTGGCTTTCTACAATAAGCAGAAATGTGGGTATCACTTCTTTCACGAGAACGCGCCCTTCGCAGTAGTGAATTTTGTGGAAAGCTTGGTGCCAATCCTTCCCAAAAGCTGAAGCCAGAGATAGAGCTGGTAATTTCTTTTCTTTTCCTACCACCTTTGACTTATTAACATATGGCAAAGAACATAACTTTGTATCTTGACATACGCTATTTACGCTTCTTGAAATTAATTTTCTTAGATCAAAACTTGTGTTATAGTATTTGTGAACCAAATAGTTGTGTTTCCTATTTATGATACTAGAAAAAAATAGTGTTTGTGAGTGGTGTTGCAACATCCTTTGATACTCTCTTGTTTAAGGCAGTAGTCTATGAACCCCTCAAAAAGTTTTACCTTCTGATGTACTCGGCGAATGCGTAGAATTTTCAGCTACCCAGTTTTCAGATGTCCCATGAGCATACATCTTCATATTTTAATCACATCTTTTATAGGACAAAGTTGTCCGTGAATTTATGTTAACAACCAAGCAAAGGTTGTTGGTCTCTTAATATTTATTGAAAAGTACAACGACTACAAAATTTACACCACTTATACTGATAATTTTTTTTCTTCCTATTTTAATCACATCTTCATATTTTCTTCCTATTTTTTTCCTTCCTATTTTCGGGCGAGCTTCAACGCTTCGAGACGAGACTCGACAGTTTGTTGAGTCTCGTCACTCTGTATAAGCCTCGTCAGGCCCATGTGGGATTGACACTTAGGTCTTATCAGCATTAAATGTTGCACGCCTTTACATCGTGGTTTTTCAGGCCCGATGAACGTTATTTAGCTGACCTCTCGAGATCTGCGGAGCAGATCTCGGTCGTTGAGTCGATTTCCCACCTATAAATAGGCTGTAGAGATTTTTAGAACCCGCAAAAACCCCGAAAAACCACCAAACGCAGCAAATAGAATCACACAAGATTTAATGTGGAAACCCCTCAATAAGAAAAAACCACGGGGTTAAATTTAATCCACTATCACCTCCAAAGTATAATTTTTTGCAC